CACAGCTGCTCTCACCCAGAAGAGGAGGGGAAGAAGGAAAGGAAAGAAACAGCTCAGGGGTACATGTGAGGATAATTTAATTAATAATAAGTATACAGATATTACAAATATTAAGGGAAAATTATTATTATATTTTTTAAAAAGGGAAAGGGGAAAAAGGAAAAAAAAAAAAAAAAAAAAAACAAAAAAAAAGAGCAAAGGCCATGTGGGAGTGCAGAGGAAAGAATTTTCCTCCCAAAACAAGCAATTTCTGCAGGTCCGGGAGCCCTCTGGTGCCAAGATCCTGAACTGCAGCACCCGACATTTGGGTGGAGAAGCCCAGAGATTGAGTCCCACCATCACCGGCACCTGCTGAGGAGGGTGAGGTCTTCTGCACGATGATGGCCCAACGGGCGAGGTCTTGGCCGTGAGGTCCCAACGAGTGGTCTTCTGCACGAGGTCCCAATGGCAACTCAAGGAACGGAAGCTTTTGGACCACGTGGTGAGCACCAGGAGATGCTGGAGCCCCACCAAGAACACAAGGTGGAGGAGCTCCGATGCCCAAGTCTCAGTCCCTCAAGGGTCCTCTTGCAGGAGGAAGCAGCCCGCGGGTGCCGAGGTGGGCGTAGGATGGAGAGGAGGTCCTCTGGGTGCAGGGAGTCTTCTGCAGCATGGGGTAGGGGTTGTGGAGAACCTTCTGGAAGGACTTTTCCCATGGCTTGGGTCACCTTGGTGGCTTGCGGTCACCTTGGTGGCTCAGAGGCCATTTTGGTGGCTCATGGTCAGCTTGACCTCTTGTGGTCACCTTGGTAGTTTGGGGGTCATCTTGGGGGCCTGGGCTCATCTCAGTATCTCGTGGTTGGGCCCAACTTGATGGCCTGGGGTCACCTTGTCTCAGGGGTTACCTTGGTGGCTTAGGGTCATCTTGGTGTTTGGCGTCACCTCCTCAGCTTGGGGACACCTTTGTGTCTTAGAGGTCACCTCCTTGTCTTGGGGGTCCCCTTGGTGACCACCTTGGTGGCTTGGGGTCATCTTGGTGCTTGGGGGACACCTTGGTGGCTCAGGAACACCTTGGTGGCTCAGAGTCACTTCCTTGGCTTGGGGACATCTCCTTGGTGGCTCAGGGGTCACCTCCTCAGCTTGGGGACACCTTGGTGGCTTGGGGGGTCACCTCCTTTTCCTGGGGTCATCTTGGTGGCACCTCGGTGACTTGGGGGTCACCTCAATGGCTTGGGGTCACCTCCTTGTCCTGGGGTCACCTTGGTGGCACCTTGGTGTCTGGGGTCACCTCCCCAGGCGCACGCAGCCAGGCGGGGTCGGCGCTCGTGGGTGTTTATTGGGGCGCGGGGCCCAACGGGGCTGTCCCCAGGGCAGCGGTGACATTGGCCTGCGGAGAGGGACACCACGTCACCCCCGTGTCACCCTCCGGGTGTCCCCTGAGGTGTCCCCCACCCCCCGTGTCCCCGTTCACCTGCAGCAGCGTGGCCACCTGCGCCGCCGTGAAGCCGGGCACCGCCGCCAGGTCCTCCACCTGCGGGGACAGTGGCACCCATGGGTGGCCCTGGGGACAACGCAGGGCAGGGAGGGGGACAGGGACACTGGGTGTGCCGGTGGGGTGGTGCAGGGTGACAGGGGACACCCAGGGGTGGGATAGGACACGCATGGGGACACTGGGAGCTGACACAGTGACATGGGACATAGGAGGGGACACCCAGGGGTGGCACAAGGTGACAGGGGACACACCCGGGGGCACCCTGAGGTGGCAGAGAGTGGCACAGGGTGACATGGGACATGGCAGGGGACACCCAGGGGTGGCACAGGACATGCATGGGGACACTGGGAGGTGACACAGTGCTGTGGGACATAGGAGGGGACACCCAGAGGTGGCACAGGGTGACACGGGGTGACATGGGGCACGCCTGGGGATACCCAGGGGTGGGATAGGACATGCATGGGGACACTGGGAGGTGACAGTGCTGTGGGACATAGGAGGGGACACCCGAGGGTGGCACAGGGTGCAATGGGACACACGGGGGGTGACACAAGGTGACAAGAAGACACGGGGGAGGTGCCAGGGGGTGCCAGGTACTGACCGTGCGGAAGGGGCCGTGCTCCTGGCGCCAGGCTCGGACGCGCCCCCCCGGCGTGGCCCCAGCCCCCGCAGCTGTGCCGGGTCCCCCCCGTTGAGCGCCTGCAGGACGTGGGCCCGGACCCCCGCCTCCAGCTGGGGGGCAGCCACCGCCTCCCACTGGGACAGCCCTGGGGACAGCAGGGGACGCTAAGGGGGGGGGGGACACGAACGGACCCCCCCCGTCCTGTCACATCCCCCCTCAAGGGACTCACCTTCTGCCGCCGCCGCAGCACCACCAGGGAGGCCGGGGAGGGGGCACCTGCAGGATAAAGTGGCATGGGGGGGGGACATTTGGGGACGGGGGGGACATTTGGGGACATTTAGGGGGAGGGGGGGAGGCTTTTTTTTTTTGGGGGGGGCGGGGGGGGGGGACCTTACCTGGACGAGAAGGAGGAGGAGGAGGAGGGGAGGGGGGTGGGCGCCGCTTCTTCAGCCTCTGGGGGGGGGAAATAAAGGGGGGAGGGGGGTGAGCACCCATGGGTACTCCCCCCCCATGGGGTGCTGGTGTTGTCACACCCCCCCGTGTCCCCCTGTCCCCCCCCGTGTCACCTGCAGGGTGTTCTCAGCATCCTCCAGCCAGCGCTGCAGGGCCTGGTCCTCCGGGGGGGGCGTGGAGGGGGGGGGACCTGGAAGGGGGGGGGGGGGGAGACAGGGCAGGGGGGTGGCACAGGGGGACCAGGACCCCCCCGTGTGTCCCCCCCTCGTGTCCCCGTGTCCCTACCTGGACTCTGGGGCGTCGCTGGCCACGGTGGCACCTGAGGATGGGGGGGTCAGGGGGTCCCAAATAGCCCCCCCATGTCCCCCCCCCATCCCACATCCCCCCCCTTCCCCTTCATGTGTCCCCCCAACCCCCCCCAACCCCCCCCAGTGCCCCCACTGATGCCCCCATACCCCCCACAACCCCCCAATGACCCCCCCAATCCCCCCCAGTAACCCAACCCCGCCACCCTATCCAAGAAACCCCACCAACCCCCCTCCCCATAACTCTCACCCCCCAAAACCCCCCTCCCAAGCCCCCATATAACCCCCCAATAAACCCCCCCACCCCCATGATACCCCCCCAACCCCTCCCCATAACATTCACCCCCCCAAAACCCCCTCCCCAATCTCCCCATAACCCCCAAGTAACCCCCCAGTCCCCAAAAACCCCCCAATAACCCCCCCACCCCCATAATACTGCCCCAACCCCTCCCCATACCCTCACCCCCCCCACAAACCTCCCCACCTCCCCTCCCCATAACCCTTGACCCTCCAAACCCCCTCCCAACCCCCCCAAACCCCCAAAAACTAACAACTCACCCTCCCCCCTGCCCCCCCACGGCAGCTTGTTGGGGGGGGGGCACCCGGCGAGCCCCCCGGGCGAAGCTGAGGGCTCGGCGGGCCTGGGGGAGCCCCGAGGGGTGGGGCAGAGGGTGAGGAGGAGGAGAAGGAGAGGGGGGGCCCGGAGGGGTTGGGGACCCCCCCCCAACAACCGGGTGAGGCGGCTCTCCCGCAGGGGGGGGCGCCCCCCCCGCCGCAGGGCCCCCAGCACCCTGCGCAGCACCCCAGTGAGGCGTTTGGTGGCCCCCCCCTCGCGCAGGCGAGCCCCCCCCTGCCCCCGCTCTGCCGGGGGTCTTCCAAGCCCGCCAGGTCGGCCACGGTCAAGGTGGGACCCCCGGGCATTGGGAGGGGGGGGGTTCCTGGGGGGGGCTCGCAGCGCACCCACAGCACCAGTGGCCCCGGCTGGAGGAGGGGTTGAGGAGGGTGGGGGCGGCGCAGCGGCGGGCGCCCAGAGAGGCCACCAGGAGGGGAGGGGGACGGGGGGGGGCTCAGGGGGAGGCGGGTGAGGCCTCGGACTTCGGGGGGGCCCCCCCGGGGCTGGAGGTTGCGCGAGCGGGGCCCCCCCGGGGGCCAGCAGGTCGCGGACCTGGGGAGAGGGAGGGGGAAAAGAAAAATGGGGGTGGGGGGTGGTTAAAGGGGTTGGGGGGGGTATAGGGGGGTTTGGAGGGGGTTGGGGGAAGATTGGGGGAAATAGGGGGAATATTGGGGAGTTTGGGGGGGGTAAAAGGGGTTTGGGGGGAGAATTGGGGGTTGGGGAGGGAGATTGGGGGAGGTTTTGGGGGGGGTAAAAGGGTTTGGGGGGGCGTAAAAGGGGTTTGGGGAGATTGGGGGGGAAATAGGGGGGATATTGGGGGATTTGGGGGGGATATGAGGGTTTGAGGGGATATGGGGGGTTGGGGTGTGGATTGGGGAGATATGGGGTGTTGGGCGGAGATTGGGGGATATGGGGGTGGAATGGGGGTTTGGGGGGATATGGGGGGCATATGGGGTTGGGGAGGGGTATGGGGATGAAATGGGAGGGATTGGGGGGTTATGGGGGAGAAATGGGGGAGTTTGTGGGGGAGATTGGGGGGGTTGTAGGGATATGGGGGTGTTATGAGGGGGCATTGGAGGGGTTTGAGGGGGTATGGGGTTTTGGGCAGGGATTGGGGACTTTGGGGGGGCATGGGATTTGGGAGTGGATTAGGGAGGGATATGGGGGGGTTGGGGGGATATTAGGGGGGTAAAAGGGGCTTGGGGGTGTATGGGGGGGTTGGAGAGGGTTTGGGGAGAGTGGGGGAAATAGGGAGAATATTGGGGAGTTTGGGGGGTTGGGGGGCATATGGGGTGATTTGGGGGGCATATGGGGGTTGGGAGGAAATGAGAGAGGATTGGGGGGGTTATGGGGGTTTGGGGGGGTAAAAGGGGTTTGGGGGGAGATTGGGGGAGGTTTGGGGGTATGGGGGGCATATGGGGATTTGGGGGGAAATGGGAGAGGACTGGGGGATGGGGAGGGTAGAGGTTTGGGGGGATATGGGGGGGAAATGATTTGGGGATGGGAGATATGTAGTTTGGGGGCGGTATGGGGGAAGTAAAGGGCGTTGGAGGGGATATGGGGGAGATATTTGGGGGGGTACGGGGGTTTTGAGCAGGGATATTTGGGTTTATGGGGGGGGTATGGGGGAATATAGGGCATTTGGGGGATTGGGGGATATATGTGGGGCTTAGGGGGATATAGAGGGGATTTGGGGGAGATGTGGGGGGAGATATGGGGCGGTTACAGGAGGGAAATGGGCATGAGGGGGCATATGGGGGGAAATGGAGATTTGGGGCCAGATATGGGGCCATGGGGGGGGAAAACTGGGGTTGGAGAGGGATGTGGGGGGTGGGTTAGTGGGGGGGGATGTGGGCATTGGGGAGACCTATAGGGGCAAAATGGGGATTTTGGGGGGCATATGGGGGCAAAATGGGGATTTTGGGGGGGATACGGGGGCAAAATGGGGATTTTGGGGGGGATACGGGGGAATATGGGGATTTTGGGGGGGTCATATGGGGGAATATGGGGATTTGGGAGGGATATGGGTCAAAATGGGGATTTTGGGGGGTCATATGGGGAATATGGGATTTGGAGGGGAATATGTTTTTTTGGGGGGGATTATGCTTTTTTGGGGGGTATAGTGGGGTTATAGTGGGGTCTGGGGGGGATCTGCCTATAGGGGAAGGCAGATCTGGAGACTAGGGTGGCACATGTCGAGAAATGGGGGGACACCCGGCACCTGGGGAGGGGAGGTGGACCAAAAGGGGGGCGATTTGAGGGGGGGGGAACGGGGGCACAAGCCCACCTCCTCGCAGTACACCTCCATGCAAGCCACGCTGAGGCGGCGGCTGGCCCCCACGGCCTGCAGAAGCTCCTCGATGGCGCGCTGCACCAAGCCGGGCTCCCCTCACCACCCAGCATGGTGTGAGTCTTCCCTGGGGGGGGCACGGGGGCACCGTTGTCAGCCTTTTGGGGGGTCGCCGCAGGCGTGGGGAGGGGGCGTTGAGACTCACCGGAGCCGCTGGGCCCGTAGGCGAGAACGGTGACGTCGCGGCCGGCCAGGAACTGGGCCAGCAGCAGGCGGACGGAGCCCTCGTAGACGGCGGCCGTGGAGCTGGCGGCGTCGTAAACAGCATCGAAGCTGAGGGGAAAAAGGGGTTATTTAAATGTGAGGGAGAGGGGGGATCACCCATGGGTGCTGCCCGCCATCCCCCTCCCGAGGCTCACCGGTAGCAGGAGGGGGCGTGGGGGGGGTCCTCACGCAGCTGCAGGGTGTGGGAGTCGAGGGGCAGCAGGCAGGGATCCTCACCGGGGGGGCCGGGGCGCAGGCGGACGCAGACCTGAACCCGCCGGGGGGGTGCTGGGGAGCATTGGCAGCCGTTGAGGGGGGGCTGGGTGGATGCCGGGTCCTCGCAGCCCCCTGTCACCTAGAAAAGTGTCCCCTCAAAGCCCCAGCAGCCCCTCAAAGCCCCCCCGTCCCCTCACAAAATGACCCATCCCCTCAAAAAATGTCCCTTCCCTGACTGCTTCCCTCAGGATTTGTCCCCTCGCAGCCCCTTGACACCCCCAAAATGCCCCCTCACAGCCCCGTCCCCTCAGCCCTTTGTCCCCCTCGCAGCCCCTCACAAAATGTTCCCTCACACACCAGTGCCTCAGGATTTGTCCCCTCACAGCCCCTTTTCCGCTCTCAGCTCCTTGTTCCCTCACAAAATACCCCCTCACAGTCCCTGTCCCCTCATGAAGTGTCCCTTAACCCCTCATCCCCTCACAAAATGCCCCCTCACAGCCCCTCATCCCCTCACAAAATATCCCCTCACAGCCCCCTCTCTCCTCACGAAGTGTCCTTTAACCCCTCATCGCCTCACAAAATGCCCCTCACAGCCCCTTTTTCCCCTCACAAAACGTCCCCTCACAGCCCCTCTCCTCTCCCCTCACCGAACGCCCCCTCACAACCCCTTTTTCCCCTCACAACCCCGCATCCCCTCACCGCCAGACGCCCCCCAGAGCCTCGCACGCCTTCTCCAAACCCCCCTGAGCCCCCCCAGACCCCCACTTTCCCCAAAATCCCCTCGGATCCCCCCCCCCCCTACAAGCCCCCCCCCCCGCACCGGCCGCAGCCTCCGCCGCCATCGCTCCCGCCGGACCGTTTGAAGCCGCGGGGCGGGAGCCAATGGGAGGCCGGCGAGCGCGCATGCGCAGTGCGGGCAGCTAGGCGGGGCAGGACGAAATGGCGTCGGTTGCCTGGCAACGGGGGGAGGGGACAAAATGGCGGCGGTTGCCTGGCAACGGGAGGAGGGGACAAAATGGCGGCGGTTGCCTGGCAACGGGGGAGATGACAAAATGGCGGCGGTTGCCTGGCAACGGGGGGAAAAGAGGTGGGAACGGCGGTGGCGGTTACCTGGCAACGGGGGGCGGGGCGAAGGGAAGGCGCCCAGTTTGTACTGGGAATGGGCCCAGTTTGTACCGGGATGGGGCTGGGGGGCCCAGTTCGAACTGCGATGGGCTCAATTCATACTGGGAAAGGGCTGAGGGTCTCAGTTTGTACTGGGAATGGGCCCAGTTTGTACTGGGATGAGGCTGAGGGTCTCAGTTTGTACTGGGAATGGGCCCAGTTTGTACTGGGATGAGGCTGGGGAGCCCAGTTCATACTGGGAAAGGGCTGGGGGTCCCAGTCTGAGCTGGGGACAATCCCAGTTTGAGCTGGGTTGGAGCTGGGAGCCCTGGCTTGTACTGGGAAAGTTCCCAGTTTGCAGTGGAATGGGCCCAGTTCATACTGGGAAGGGTATGGGGGTCCCAGTTTGTACTGGGGTGGGCCCAATTCATACTGGGAAGGGGTTAAGGGTCCCAGTTCATAATGGGAAGGGGCTGGGGGTCCCAGTTTGAGCTGGGAAGTGTAATACACAATAAATGTTTGTTCATTGTCTTTCGTGTTATAAAAACAAGGAGTTCTGTTTGAGGAGCGGGAGTTGCGAAAGCTCCCTGCTGAAGTAAGGAGCTGGATAATGCTTGGCTAGACACTATGAAAATTCTTTTGCTTAATGTAACAAAAAAGAGAACCCCCTCCCCTTCTCTCCTTCTGCATCTCAGTTGCCTCTTTTGTTCAAAGACCCTGCTGCAAAGCTCATGTAACCATCTCCTGAGAAGTTGCTAACCTAGCGTATCAACATCCTGCCTTCCTGTCTCACGCTGGGCCAACATGACCAAATAAAAAAAGAAGTTGAACCACAACGCCGAGGAAGACTACGGCCTTCATCTTCACGACCACCAGAGGGACAGAGATGACCCCCTAGCAACAGTGCGCGCAGTCGCAGAATATACCAGGATGTGCTGCATAATCCTGGAATTACCAAGATATAAAAAGGGACCCTGGCGGGGGTGAGGTGCGCGCCGATGACGGAGCCGAGACTCCCCGGCCGCCCAGCGCTGTTTTGCTTGCTGTTGCTTACTCTATAAATTCCTTTCTATTATTAATGCAATGCTCTCTGAAAATTAATTAAGGGGCAACATATAACAGGAAGGAGGTGGCTCGCGCTAGCTGCAGGTAGTTCAGCGGCTCGACCTCGACGTCATCTGCAAGGAGAAGCAATATCCTCAGTGCCACAGCAAGCCCAAGTTGCTTGCAGCATTCCGAACAAGGGCCTAGAGGAAGGGTCGCTAAGAGAAACAGCTCCGGAGCCACGGGGTCTTCTGGGGGAACTCAAGCTCCACCCTGACCGTTGGAGACAATCCTCTGCCTCTCCCAGGCCTTTCCAAAGAGCAGGGAGAACAAATCCTTCCGGACATGGGGCAGGACGAGGGGGCTGCTGCCTTCTCACCAGGGAGGATCTCAGGGGGACAGTACATGTACTCCAGCCACCCCTCATCAATGTCCAGCTGGAAGAATGGTTTGCGAATCAAGAGCCACTTTTGCTTGACGTGGAATTGCTCTTGGAGAACAGCAAAGGTCCCGAGTCCTGCAACATGAATAGTCTGCACACAGAGAAGACAGAAAGGCTGAGGAGGGAGTTCTTGAGAGACGGGAAAAGGGATGACTGTCAGAGCAGGGGGACAGAGCTAGCAGGGTGACTGGGTGGCCCAGGGCCTTTGTACCTGGAGCCTCTCTGGTTAGCCACGTCCAGCACTGCCCACTCCCCCCAAGGTGTAGGGGGACATTTGGCTGCTGGACTATCTCCATCCTTGTGCCGGGCTCAGGGCCTGTGTCGCAGGATCCAAGGGGTGACAGCAAGTTTGTGTGCCCCAGGTGGTGTTTTGATGACCCGAGGAGATGCTCGGGTTTTCTACTCAGATGTAGGAGTGCGGTGGGGAGATTCTTGGGTGCTCCAGTGAGGTGCTTCTGTGCTGCAGGAGTTGTATGGCAGGGGCAGAAACTTTTGTTAGGAGGGCAGAGGTTTGTGTGCTCCAGGGAGGCTTTTCTTCTGCCCCAGGGATATGCTTATGTGCCCCAGGGAGGTGCTTGTGTGCCCTGGGAATATCCTTGGGCTCTCTAGGAAGGTGCTCGATTCCTCTGGGGTCACTTGGAACCTCCGGAGTTGCCTGGGTCCAGCAGAGAGCAGGTTGTGTGCTCCAGGGAGTTGCTGGACTGCACTAAGTGTGTTGTTCAGTGCTTTAGGGAGGTTCTTGGTTGTCCCGACAAGATGCTCGTGTTCCACAGGGAAGGGGATGAGTGACCCAGAGGCAGGTGCTGGTTGTCCCCAGGGAGGTGCTTGCCTACCACAGGAAAATGCTTGTACACCCAAGAAGATCCTTTGCTCCTCCAGGACGTTGCGTGATTTACCCAGGGAGGTGTTTCTCTGACCCGGGGCAGGATAGGATTTCTTCATAGAGGTGCTTCATCAATGGAGGGAATTCCTTGGTTCTTGAAAGATCTTCTGGGGAGACCTATGCAGGTGCTTGGGCACCCATGGGGTTATTCTACTGTTCCCCAGGGAGGTGTTTCATTCTTCCAAGGAGGTGCTTGGGTTCTCTATAGAGGTTCCTGGGTTCCTCCAAGAAATGCTTGTATGCCTTTGGGCGATGTCTTAGAGCATCAGCAGGAGATGGGTTCACAGCGGAAATTGTTCAGGTGAACCCACCTAGAGTTGGGATCTCCCGTGAGGTGCTGGAATGCCCTTGGAAGATGCCTGAGAGGGAAAAGGTAGTGCTTAGGTGTCCTGGGGAGATGCTTGTCTACTCCAGCTCAATGCTCACGTGTCCTGCAGGAAGTATTTCTGATTTCAAGAGGTGCCTATATTCCCTGGGGAGATACTTGGGTGCCATGGAGGGTGCTTCAGGAAGATGCTTGTATTCCCAGGGGAGACTTTTACTTTCCCCAGGGACATGTTTGGTTTCTCCAGGGAGTTGCCAGAACGCTCCTTGGAAAAGACGGCTTGATCAGAGGACTTGTGCCGAGGTCCTGCTAGCAAGACTGGTGGTCTGGGGAGATTGTTGGCTGCTCCAGGGAGATGCCTGTGTGCTGCACGGAGAAGCCTGGGCATCCTTGGGATGTGCCCGTGTGCCTAATGGAGATGGTGGTGTGAATCAGGGCAGTGCTTTGCTACGGCGGATGAAGCGACACAAGCAGTCTGGCTGTGCTCTTTATTTTCCATTCAGGGGTGGAAAGCGGGAGAGCTTCCCAGCCCCTTTGCTCAGAGCTCCGCTGCTGCCTTCAGCATTCCCAGCACCTTCCCCTCCGTTGCGGTACCAGCATCTAGCGCTAGGGAGTCAGAAAGAAAAGAGGATGATCAGGTTGTGTACAGGCTGAACGCAGAGAAGTACTGCAGGCTTAGCTCGGGCCGTACACGTAGGGGTCTGCTTCCCATGAAGCTTCAAGGTTGCCGTCAGCTGCGACAGATGCCTAGTGCCCAAGCTCATCAGCCTGGGGCTGAGGCAGGGGGAGCGGAGGGCCCCGGAATGCCCTCTCTGTCCCAGTGCTGCCCCCACGGGAAGGACGGGCCTTGCAGCAGCGGGAAGCACCATCCCTTTCTGGAGATACTTACCAGGGGAGCCGCTGCTGCTCTTGCTGCAGCCGCTTTTCCTCCGCAGCACTTCTGAACACCCTTTGTTGACTGCGATGCGGCTCCGACCTTTTCAAAACTTGCAGTGCTCGTGGGGAAAGGTGGCTGCAACACCAGGACAAAGGGATCCCTCAGCCTCTGCCAGACACCCCTTCTGCCTCTCCCCTCATCCAGACCCTGCACCCACGCGGTGCCACGTGCACCCACCCTTTCGCCCTGTGATGAGTTTTAGGCCTTGGCGGTAACCAAGGTCATGCCCGCTTTAGGAGAAAGCAAAGGGTGTCATAGGCAAGCCCAGGACTCAGGGACCGGGCTGCTGGACATCTCCTGACATCGCTCAGCAGCTACTCGAGTGCCCCAGCACGTGAACGCAGCCAGCACACACTTACTCAGGCTGGAGGCTCTCCAGCTTGGCTGCCGCTCTCCACTCCTCTTCTGCGGCAGGGATCTGAACCTTCCTCCACCTCCTCACGACCTCCTTGCTCCTGGGCTGGGCTGGGGGATGGGGAATCCAATCATGTTGCCTGGTGACCTGATGCAAGGAGAAGACGCTCTCATCAGACAGGACTGGACACACGGGTGCTGTTTCCCAGAGGACCCCTTGAAAGGACCCTGCAGCAGGACCTGGGAAGCAGGCGACTCGGCACTGCCGGCCCACGTCTGGCTGCTGCTTTGATCCCTCGCTTTCTGCTGACAGCCTCTCCCTCACAGGGAGGAGCAGGCAAAGCCCTGCCCTGCGCCCTGGTGCCCGTCCTGCTCCCACCACCCTGGGACCTGCCCCCCTCGGAGCCCTGGCGGGGAGGATCGCTGCTCTTCTCAGCGGTGTTGGTCATGGCCAGTACCTGAGGTGTCTCTCGGTCCTCCCCCTGAGACCAGGCTTCCCAAGCAGCCATTTCTGCCCGGGCTTGCTGTATTCGCTTTTGGTACAAGGGCCATGAGCTCTTTGTTTGGTCCCACTGCGAGGACAGGTTCCAGACCTCCTGGAGGAAAACAAACAAAAAACACAACAGCAGACAGGATTGGTCTCAGCTGTTGGACCAAAGACCTCTGCCATCAAAGACCCAGAAAGCCCTCATTCCTTTTCCATTGCCCCTGGTCCAAATGAAGCGGCTCATGGCAACACGGGAGGCAGCAAGAGGCAGGGAAGGTGTGCGGGACACCACCTTCCATCTCCCGAGGAAGAGAAGAAGGAGGTAACAAGTGTGAAAATGAACGCATCCCAAGGGTCCGGCTTGGGATCGCTCCACACAAAGAGGCTTTAGTACAGTCCCAAACCGCGTGGTCATTGCAGCAAGGCAGAGCAGGTACCTGCACCGATCTCTGAGAGGCTTCGGGAGTAGGGAGCGCAGTGCTGGTGGACTTGGCTTGAGGAGCTGCTTCCTGCCTGTCTGTCTTCTTTGTCCTGGGGGAGCTGCCTGGACACGGGGGGAGCACACTGCAAACAGACACCGGGAGGCTGCATGAGCCCAGGGGAATTCGGTCTCCAGTCCGCGCTCGCAAGCTGCATCAGCCTCTGCAGCAGACGGCAGTTCCGCAGCGAATGGGTGTTGGACTGGCCGTGTTCGCTTCAGCAGACACGGAAAGAGCCAACCGCGAAGCAGTGGCACCAGCTGCCTTCAGGAAGGCTCGCGATGCCCGTATCCAGGCCCTCTGTGGTGGCAGAAGGAGAGGAGCAGTGTCTTGTGCAAGGACAGGATCCTAGAGACACCAATACGGCCCAGCCGGGCTTATGGGTGGAAAGCAGATTATCGCTGGGGAGCCAGCAACATCGGAGAACGCCATCAGGCAAGGAATCACAGAATCACAGAATCTCTAGGTTGGAAGAGACCTCAAGATCATCGAGTCCAACCTCTGACCTAACGCTAACAGTCCCCACTAAACCATATCCCTAAGCCCTACATCTAAACGTCTTTTGAAGACTTCCAGGGATGGTGACTCCACCACCTCCCTGGGCAGCCTGTTCCAGTGCCTAACAACCCTTTCAGTAAAGAAATTCTTCCTAACATCTAACCTAAAACTCCCCTGGCGAAGGAGGGCAGGCAGGCCACCTCCTTCCCTCGGCACTCTCTTGTGCCTGCCACAAAGTCTGGGATATCGTTTGGAAAGAAACGTTTCCATCTGGTATCACAGCTCCTTAGGCTGGAAGAAGCTGCGGGGCAGCTGGAAGAAACCGCAGGGGACGTTTGCTCCCACAGACAAAAAGATGGACTCTTGCAATGTGGGGGGGCTCCTGAAGGGACAAGAGCTTCTGCAACACGGCTCTGCATCCAGCTCCCCCAAGGATCAGGGCCCTGGTGGAAAATGAAGCTGGCGTGCCAGTCTCAGGCAAACGTGCTGCACGCTTGCCATGCGTGGAGAGAGCGGCCTCCTCCGGGACGGGTGTCAGGAGCCTTTCTGAGTCCCTGCGCCTGGTGGGTCCAAAGGGGACATCTCTCCTGTGTGGCTGCAAGTGGCTCCTTCCTCCTTTCCCCCAAGGGTCTCACCTGGTGGAAGGCTTCTTCTCCAGATCTTGCTGCCTCGTGCCTGGCTCCCAGCTTCTCACCGTGGGGAGGGAAAGCTTCCGCCTCTCCAGCAGCTTGCCAGGATGGCACAATGAAACTAGGAAAGGAGGAAGCTCTTCAGAGCAGCCGCATGGGCACTGCCTTTTAAGCTGGTTGCAGTCAGCCAGCATGGGGCAGGGACCACCCCCAGACAGCACGGACCCTTACCTCCTCTCATCCTGCACTCTCCTGCAGCTTGCTGCTGCGAGGTGAACTGCACTTTGGCCTCTGGCCTTGTCCTCACAGTCAGATGAAACCTGGCAAACAAATGACACGGGCTTGAAGAAGGCTGGCCTCCTACCCGTTGCTGCTTGCTGGCAGTAATCCTCCTGGTGTTGCACGGGACATGGCATCCCTCTTCCGTCACGTTCACGCATGGGGTTTGTTGTGAAGCTTCCCGCAACACCAGAAAAGGTAGCCTAAATTCCCCTCCACATGCAGGCAATTCTCTCTGAGGGGAATCGCGGCAGCACGGGCACAAGAAGCACAACCGCAGTGCCCCTCCTCGCCAGGTGAAGACACTCGTAGCCGAAAGTCAGCATGAGTTAACCAGGACCCAGTCTCTTCAGGATTTAGCCCCGACTGGATGCTGAGCGTGGAGACCCGACCGCGCACGTTCCAAAGGAGGAGGTGGGAAGCCAAGGGCTGCGGAGGAAATGCACTCACCTTGGGAACATCTGGATCGCACGAGCGGTGGTCTCTCCACTCAAGGCAGTCGGGTGTGCCGGCCACATTCTCTGCAAAGAGACACAGACCTGCTGGAGGGTTTCTGAGGCACTTTTCTCAGGGCTCTCATTGACAGGAAGCAAACCTGTCTCCCAAGCCAAAAGAAAGCCTTCTCTCCAAAACCCTCCTCCAAAGCCTCTTCCATCCACCTTTGCTCTGCTCTGGAGGAGCATGGCAGAATATTGAGGCTGTACAGTAACGCTGCCAGGCCTTTTGCAGCGGCCAGCATCCAGACGCTCAGAAGAGCTAATGGAGAAAGCAGCTAATGGGGCAGGCGTGGGGAAAGGCATCTGACTGGCCTGCCGTGTCCAGGCTGGCCAACAGCGGTCGCATTGATCACCCTTCCACAGGATTCCCAAAGAAATTGAAGTAGCCCTCAAAACATCACCAGCTTACACTGTGGAGCATTGCAATGAGGTCCTCAGAGCTCTCCAGACGTTTAACACAGTCCGGATAAAACTTCATGCACAGGAAGTCATCCTCGCACGTCAAAACACCGATGTCCCTGAATGCAAAGGGGACGTGCTCCTTGTTCTTCAGGAGGCAACAGTACAAGATGATGGTCTCTTGCACACACTCCTGCACCACGTACAGTGGGAAGGAGGTGGCTTGCGCTAGCTGCAGGTAGTTCAGCTGCTCGACCTCGACGTCATCTGCAAGGAGAAGCAACATCCTCAGTGCCACAGCAAGCCCAAGTTGCTTGCAGCATTCCGAACAAGGGCCTAGAGGAAGGGTCGCTAAGAGAAACAGCTCCGGGGCCACGGGGTCTTCTGGGGGAACTCAAGCTCCACCCTGACCGTTGGAGACAATCCTCTGCCTCTCCCAGGCCTTTCCAAAGAGCAGGGAGAACAAATCCTTCCGGACATGGGGCAGGACGAGGGGGCTGCTGCCTTCTCACCAGGGAGGATCTCAGGGGGACAGTACATGTACTCCAGCCACCCCTCATCAATGTCCAGCTGGAAGAACGGTTTGCGAATCAGGAGCCGCTTTTGCTTGACGTAGAATTGCTCTTGGAGAACAGCAAAGGTCCCGAGTCCCGCAACCTGAATAGCCTGCACACAGAGAAGACAGAAAGGCTGAGGAGGGAGTTCTTGAGAGACGGGAAAAGGGATGACTCTCCGAGCAGGGGGACACTGCTCTGTGCCCTGCCTGCTCCTGAGGGACAATGGGGCAAGGTGGGGCACTTTGGAAAGCTTTGGAGAAGAGCCGCATCCTCCGTTTCTTCCATCACCCCCCTCCCAGGATTTGCCACCATCCCTTGGCTAGGGAAGAGCCCAGAGGTTTCCAGCACACGGCTTAGGCCTGGGACTGATTATCCTAGGCACGGACCCAGGATATTCCCCCATCTCTCTGCTCGCCCTCTCCACCCAGGCCGCAGGGAAGAGTGAAGCCCTGGGGTGTGCCAAACCCCTGAGAAGCAGAGCAGATCTGGCCTTGGTTTCTCTCCCAGCTGGCCAGCAAGCTGCTCCGGGCACCCTGGGCAGTCTCAGTGCACTGCCGTGCTGCTCGGGTAGGGATTGCTCTGCAGGGCCCAGGACACCAGCCCACCTTATCCTGCTTCAGCGCTTCCAGAATTTGCTTGGATACAGCATCCCAGATAGCCTCAGTCTCTGGAAAGCAAGGAAAAGACAGGTCAGGCTCCAGGCCAGCCAGCTCACCACCTCTTGGCAAGCACCTCACCCAGGCGAGGACACATGCAGGCATACGCGAGCCCCCCAGAAAAACACCATGCGGGCATTCCTGGGACATTCCTGAGAGGCCTGTGGGAGCTGCAGGCCACACCAGTCTCTGGGACACCAGAGGTCTTTCCTCCCAGAGCCAGATCCCAAAGAGGAAGCAGCTCCCAGGGAAACCTGGCCCTGGATTGTCCCCATCACGAGGAGGCTGAGCCATGCCCAGAGGAGCCCTGGGGCTGAGGACAGCCCTAGCATCAGGACCCAGGAGTCCTGGCTGCCACATTGTCCCCTGAGCCCAGCGGGACCCTCAGGCAGGGCTCTTGCAGCAGCCACCAGCTCTGTCCAGCACCGCCACCACCCCTCAGCCCAGGACCTGCAGCTTTGGACAGCTGACAGCCCCTGGGCCACCCCTTGCGAAGGGGCTCCTGACACCCTTACCTTTGGGGGAGAGATTCAGGAGCACTGGGAACTGGGAAACCATATCAGAGGCGATGGTCACCCTCCAGCAGCCCTCCATCTCGCTTGCTGCTGGCCCTCAGCTCAGGACAAGGGATGCCCGCCCTGGCTCCTCAACCACAGCTCCTCTGCAAGGTGCCCCTGCTCCTCCGCCCGTCAGCGAGGGTCGCCCAGTGCAAGCTTGCTGCCTGCTGACCCCACTCCTGGCCGCAGAAGGACAGCGCTGGGGAGCACCCAAGCAGTGCCCAGCAGGGACCAGGCTTTGCAGGGAAGTGCCGGCACTGCCGCTGCACCAATGCTTATATCCTGGTGATGCAGGACATCCTTCTGTGACATCATCACGTGTCATAAGAAGCCTTATGACGTCAGCAGCATGGAGACAGCACAGCTCAGGAGAGAGACGAGAGATTTCCCTTCTTGTCCTGAGAAACAGTCACCTCCCTTCTGCCCAGTTCATTCCTAGCGGTTCCTGGCCCATCCACCAGGAACATCTCCAAATTCTGACAAAGGCCACAGAATAAAGCAAGTAGAGCGCTGGAGAAGTCACTGCTGCGTTCCTCCCCATTTTCTAGGCAGTTTGCTAAAGTCTGTCTGCCAATACTCTCCAGGGCTGCAGGCCTCCCAGGGTCTATGAGTGAGTGGGCCTGTGCAGTGCTGGGTGTAGGGCTGGGCCCCAAAACCTCATCTCTTTCCCTGTGCTGAAAAGCAGCTGGACTATGACACGCATTTTGTAGGAGGAGTGTCAAGACACGGGTTTTCCTGTTTGCAAGTCCCAGATCCTGGTGAACATCACCTAGGTCGGCCCATCTGGCAGCTGTGCACAGAAGATGCCTCCAAGAACCCATAGAAACCTCGGGAATGTTTGCACCCTGCAGTGTCCCTTTTCTGTGACAGTCTGAGTGATTTAAGGCCCCCAGGGTGACATGGGGTCATTGAAGTCATCTTAGTCCAGTGGCTTCCACAAGACTGTCTGCTTCTTCAGCCTGACTGCAGGCATTTACCTCTGACCACACTGCCACCCTGACTGGATCTGCTCTGACCCTCACCCACAAGGGCTCCCCCACTCTGCTGCCCATCCCATAGAGGAGCTCCATGCATCCAGACAGATCCTTCACATGGAGGGCAACCCCCTGTTGATCATCCCCGCCTGTCTCTTCTGAAGAATCTGCCCCCATCCAGCACAGCACCCCAAGCTGGGGGACCTGTCCCCCCACACCTCAGCAGCTCTTCCATCAATGTCCCAGCCCTGTGACAGCAGGCGGGGATCCAGCTCCTCCTGCCTGTGCCCCAGGCTGAGGGCATTGGGGCACATCTGGGCTGCAGCACCTCAGCTGTGGCACAAGGGCCAAACTCAGGCTTGTCTGAGTTGAATGGTGATTTTGGCGGGCGATACGGGGGGAAAATGGGGATTTTGGAGGGGATATGGGGGAATATGGGGATTTTGGGGGGGTCATATGGGGGAATATGGGGATTTGGGGGAGGAATATGTTTTTTGGGGGGGGGATTATGCTTTTTTGGGGGGTATAGTGGGGTCTGGGGGGGATCTGCCTATAGGGGAAGGCAGATCTGGAGACTGGGGGTGGCACAGGTCGAGAAATGGGGGGACACCGGCACCTGGGGAGGGGAGGTGGACCAAAAGGGGGGGCGATTTGAGGGGGAGGAACGGGGCACAAGCCCACCTCCTCGCAGTACACCTCCATGCAGGCCACGCTGAGGCAGCGGCTGGCGCCCACGGCCTGCAGAAGCTCCTCGAGGGCGCGCTGCACCAAGCCGGGCTCCCCTTCACCGCCCAGCATGGTGTGAGTCTTCCCTGGTAGGGGCACGGGGGCACCGTGTCAGCCTTTCGGGGGCTCGCTGCCGGCCAGGAACTGGGCCAGCAGCGGGCGGACGGAGCCCTCGTAGACGGCGGCCGTGGAGCTGGCGGCGTCGTAAACAGCATCGAAGCTGAGGGGAAAAAGGGGTTAAAATGTGAGGGAGAGGGGGGAGCACCCATGGGTGCTGCCCGCCATCCCCCTCCCGAGGCTCACCGGTAGCAGGAGGGGGCGTGGGGGGGGTCCTCACGCAGCTGCAGGGTGTGGGAGTCGAGGGGCAGCAGGCAGGGATCCTCACCGGGGGGGCCGGGGCGCAGGCGGACGCAGACCTGAACCCGCCGGGGGGGTGCTGGGGAGCATTGGCAGCCGTTGAGGGGGGGCTGGGTGGATGCCGGGTCCTCGCAGCCCCCTGTCACCTAGAAAAGTGTCCCCTCAAAGCCCCAGCAGCCCCTCAAAGCCCCCCCGTCCCCTCACAAAATGACCCATCCCCTCAAAAAATGTCCCTTCCCTGACTGCTTCCCTCAGGATTTGTCCCCTCGCAGCCCCTTGACACCCCCAAAATGCCCCCTCACAGCCCCGTCCCCTCAGCCCTTTGTCCCCATCGCAGCCCCTCACAAAATGTTCCCTCACACACCAGTGCCTCAGGATTTGTCCCCTCACAGCCCCTTTTCCGCTCTCAGCTCCTTGTTCCCTCACAAAATACCCCCTCACAGTCCCTGTCCCCTCATGAAGTGTCCCTTAACCCCTCATCCCCTCACAAAATGCCCCCTCACAGCCCCTCATCCCCTCACAAAATATCCCCTCACAGCCCCCTCTCTCCTCACGAAGTGTCCTTTAACCCCTCATCGCCTCACAAAATGCCCCTCACAGCCCCTTTTTCCCCTCACAAAACGTCCCCTCACAGCCCCTCTCCCCTCACCGAACGCCCCCTCACAACCCCTTTTTCCCCTCACAACCCCGCATCCCCTCACCGCCAGACGCCCCCCAGAGCCTCGCACGCCTTCTCCAAACCCCCCTGAGCCCCCCCAGACCCCCACTTTCCCCAAAATCCCCTCGGATCCCCCCCCCCCCCCACAAGCCCCCCCCCCTCACCGGCCGCAGCCTCCGCCGCCATCGCTCCCGCCGGACCGTTTGAAGCCGCGGGGCGGGAGCCAATGGGAGGCCGGCGAGCGCGCATGCGCAGTGCGGGCAGCCCGGCGGGGCAGGACGAAATGGCGTCGGTTGCCTGGAAACGGGGGGAGGGGACAAAATGGCGGCGGTTGCCTGGCAACGGGAGGAGGGGACAAAATGGCGGCGGTTGCCTGGCAACGGGGGAGATGACAAAAATGGCGGAAGCTGCCTGGCAACGGGGGGAAAAGAGGTGGGAACGGCGGTGGCGGTTACCTGGCAACGGGGGGCGGGGCGAAGGGAAGGCGCCCAGTTTGTACTGGGAATGGGCCCAGTTTGTACCGGGATGGGGCTGGGGGGCCCAGTTCGAACTGCGATGGGCTCAATTCATACTGGGAAAGGGCTGAGGGTCTCAGTTTGTACTGGGAATGGGCCCAGTTTGTACTGGGATGAGGCTGAGGGTCTCAGTTTGTACTGGGAATGGGCCCAGTTTGTACTGGGATGAGGCTGGGGAGCCCAGTTCATACTGGGAAAGGGCTGGGGGTCCCAGTCTGAGCTGGGGACAATCCCAGTTTGAGCTGGGTTGGAGCTGGGAGCCCTGGCTTGTACTGGGAAAGTTCCCAGTTTGCAGTGGAATGGGCCCAGTTCATACTGGGAAGGGTATGGGGGTCCCAGTTTGTACTGGGGTGGGCCCAATTCATACTGGGAAGGGGTTAAGGGTCCCAGTTCATAATGGGAAGGGGCTGGGGGTCCCAGTTTGAGCTGGGAAGTGTAATACACAATAAATGTTTGTTCATTGTCTTTCGTGATATAAAAACAAGGAGTTCTGTTTGAGGAGCTGGAGTTGCGAAAGCTCCCTGCTGAAGTAAGGAGCTGGATAATGCTTGGCTAGACACTATGAAAATTCTTTTGCTTAATGTAACAAAAAAGAGAACCCCCTCCCCTTCTCTCCTTCTGCATCTCAGTTGCCTCTTTTGTTCAAAGACCCTGCTGCAAAGCTCATGTAACCATCTCCTGAGAAGTTGCTAACCTAGCGTATCAACATCCTGCCTTCCTGTCTCACGCTGGGCCAACATGACCAAATAAAAAAAGAAGTTGAACCACAACGCCGAGGAAGACTACGGCCTTCATCTTCACGACCACCAGAGGGACAGAGATGACCCCCTAGCAACAGTGCGCGCAGTCGCAGAATATACCAGGATGTGCTGCATAATCCTGGAATTACCAAGATATAAAAAGGGACCCTGGCGGGGGTGAGGTGCGCGCCGTTGGCGGAGCCGAGACTCCCCGGCCGCCCAGCGCTGTTTTGCTTGCTGTTGCTTACTCTATAAATTCCTTTCTATTATTAATGCAATGCTCCCTGAAAATTAATTAAGGGGCAACATATAACAGGAAGGAGGTGGCTCGCGCTAGCTGCAGGTAGTTCAGCGGCTCGACCTTGACGTCATCTGCAAGGAGAAGCAACATCCTCAGTGCCACAGCAAGCCCAAGTTGCTTGCAGCATTCCGAACAAGGGCCTAGAGGAAGGGTCGCTAAGAGAAACAGCTCCGGGGCCACGGGGTCTTCTGGGGGAACTTGAGCTCTTCAAGCTCCAGAAATGACTCTCGGTCTGTCCCATGACAGGTCTGTCATGGGACAGACCGAGAGTCATTTCTGGAGAGAGAGGAAAAGTTTATCACTTCTGAAAAAAACAAGGGGTGACAGCAAGTTTGTGTGCCCCAGGTGGTGTTTTGATGACCCGAGGAGATGCTCGGGTTCTCCACTCAGATGTAGGAGCGCGGTGGGGAGATTCTTGGGTGCTCCAGTGAGGTGCTTGGGTGTTCCAGGGAGGTGCTTCTGTGCTGCAGGAGTTGTATGGCAGGGGCAGAAACTTTTGTTAGGAGGGCAGAGGTTTGTGTGCTCCAGGGAGGCTTTTCTTCTGCCCCAGGGATATGCTTATGTGCCCCAGGGAGGTGCTTGTGTGCCCTGGGAATATCCTTGGGCTCTCTAGGAAGGTGCTTGATTCCTCTGGGGTCACTTGGAACCTCCGGAGTTGCCTGGGTCCAGCAGAGAGCAGGTTGTGTGCTCCAGGGAGTTGCTGGACTGCACTAAGTGTGTTGTTCAGTGCTTTAGGGAGGTTCTTGGTTGTCCCGACAAGATGCTCGTGTTCCACAGGGAAGGGGATGAGTGACCCAGAGGCAGGTGCTGGTTGTCCCCAGGGAGGTGCTTGCCTACCACAGGAAAATGCTTGTACACCCAAGAAGATCCTTTGCTCCTCCAGGACGTTGCGTGATTTACCCAGGGAGGTGTTTCTCTGACCCGGGGCAGGATAGGATTTCTTCATAGAGGTGCTTCATCAATGGAGGGAATTCCTTGGTTCTTGAAAGATCTTCTGGGGAGACCTATGCAGGTGCTTGGGCACCCATGGGGTTATTCTACTGTTCCCCAGGGAGGTGTTTCATTCTTCCAAGGAGGTGCTTGGGTTCTCTATAGAGGTTCCTGGGTTCCTCCAAGAAATGCTTGTATGCCTTTGGGCGATGTCTTAGAGCATCAGCAGGAGATGGGTTCACAGCGGAAATTGTTCAGGTGAACCCACCTAGAGTTGGGATCTCCTGTGAGGTGCTGGAATGCCCTTGGAAGATGCCTGAGAGGGAAAAGGTAGTGCTTAGGTGTCCTGGGGAGATGCTTGTCTACTCCAGCTCAATGCTCACGTGTCCTGCGGGAAGTATTTCTGATTTCAAGAGGTGCCTATATTCCCTGGGGAGATACTTGGGTGCCATGGAGGGTGCTTCAGGAAGATGCTTGTATTCCCAGGGGAGACTTTTACTTTCCCCAGGGACATGTTTGGCTTCTCCAGGGAGTTGCCAGAACGCTCCTTGGAAAAGACGGCTTGATCAGAGGACTTGTGCCGAGGTCCTGCTAGCAAGACTGGTGGTCTGGGGAGATTGTTGGCTGCTCCAGGGAGATGCCTGTGTGCTGCACGGAGAAGCCTGGGCATCCTTGGGATGTGCCCGTGTGCCTAACGGAGATGATGGTGTGAATCAGGGCAGTGCTTTGCTACGGCGGATGAAGCGACACAAGCAGTCTGGCTGTGCTCTTTATTTTCCATTCAGGGGTGGAAAGCGGGAGAGCTTCCCAGCCCCTTTGCTCAGAGCTCCGCTGCTGCCTTCAGCATTCCCAGCACCTTCCCCTCCGTTGCGGTACCAGCATCTAGCGCTAGGGAGTCAGAAAGAAAAGAGGATGATCAGGTTGTGTACAGGCTGAACACAGAGAAGTACTGCAGGCTTAGCTCGGGCCGTGCACGTAGGGGTCTGCTTCCCATGAAGCTTCAAGGTTGCCGTCAGCTGCGACAGATGCCTAGTGCCCAAGCTCATCAGCCTGGGGCTGAGGCAGGGGGAGCGGAGGGCCCCGGAATGCCCTCTCTGTCCCAGTGCTGCCCCCACGGGAAGGACGGGCCTTGCAGCAGCGGGAAGCACCATCCCTTTCTGGAGATACTTACCAGGGGAGCCGCTGCTGCTCTTGCTGCAGCCGCTTTTCCTCCGCAGCACTTCTGAACACCCTTTGTTGACTGCGATGCGGCTCCGACCTTTTCAAAACTTGCAGTGCTCGTGGGGAAAGGTGGCTGCAACACCAGGACAAAGGGATCCCTCAGCCTCTGCCAGACACCCCTTCTGCCTCTCCCCTCATCCAGACCCTGCACCCACGCGGTGCCACGTGCACCCACCCTTTCGCCCTGTGATGAGTTTTAGGCCTTGGCGGTAACCAAGGTCATGCCCGCTTTAGGAGAAAGCAAAGGGTGTCATAGGCAAGCCCAGGACTCAGGGACCGGGCTGCTGGACATCTCTTGACATCGCTCAGCAGCTACTCGAGTGCCCCAGCACGTGAACGCAGCCGGCACACACTTACTCAGGCTGGAGGCTCTCCAGCTTGGCTGCCGCTCTCCACTCCTCTTCTGCGGCAGGGATCTGAACCTTCCTCCACCTCCTCACGACCTCCTTGCTCCTGGGCTGGGCTGGGGGATGGGGAATCCAATCATGTTGCCTGGTGACCTGATGCAAGGAGAAGACGCTCTCATCAGACAGGACTGGACACACGGGTGCTGTTTCCCAGAGGACCCCTTGAAAGGACCCTGCAGCAGGACCTGGGAAGCAGGCGACTCGGCACTGCCGGCCCACGTCTGGCTGCTGCTTTGATCCCTCGCTTTCTGCTGACAGCCTCTCCCTCACAGGGAGGAGCAGGCAAAGCCCTGCCCTGCGCCCTGGTGCCCGTCCTGCTCCCACCACCCTGGGACCTGCCCCCCTCGGAGCCCTGGCGGGGAGGATCGCTGCTCTTCTCAGCGGTGTTGGTCACTGCCAGTACCTGAGGTGTCTCTCGGTCCTCCCCCTGAGACCAGGCTCCCCAAGCAGCCATTTCTGCCCGGGCTTGCTTTATTCGCTTTTGGTACAAGGGCCATGAGCTCTTTGTTTGGTCCCACTGCGAGGACAGGTTCCAGACCTCCTGGAGGAAAACAAACAAAAAACACAACGGCAGACAGGATTGGTCTCAGCTGTTGGACCAAAGACCTCTGCCATCAAAGACCCAGAAAGCCCTCATTCCTTTTCCATTGCCCCTGGTCCAAATGAAGCGGCTCATGGCAACACGGGAGGCAGCAAGAGGCAGGGAAGGTGTGCGGGACACCACCTTCCATCTCCCGAGGAAGAGAAGAAGGAGGTAACAAGTGTGAAAATGAACGCATCCCAAGGGTCCGGCTTGGGATCGCTCCACACAAAGAGGCTTTAGTACAGTCCCAAACCGCGTGGTCATTGCAGCAAGGCAGAGCAGGTACCTGCACCGATCTCTGAGAGGCTTCGGGAGTAGGGAGCGCAGTGCTGGTGGACTTGGCTTGAGGAGCTGCTTCCTGCCTGTCTGTCTTCTTTGTCCTGGGGGAGCTGCCTGGACACGGGGGGAGCACACTGCAAACAGACACCGGGAGGCTGCATGAGCCCAGGGGAATTCGGTCTCCAGTCCGCGCTCGCAAGCTGCATCAGCCTCTGCAGCAGACGGCAGTTCCGCAGCGAATGGGTGTTGGACTGGCCGTGTTCGCTTCAGCAGACACGGAAAGAGCCAACCGCGAAGCAGTGGCACCAGCTGCCTTCAGGAAGGCTCGCGATGCCCGTATCCAGGCCCTCTGTGGTGGCAGAAGGAGAGGAGCAGTGTCTTGTGCAAGGACAGGATCCTAGAGACACCAATACGGCCCAGCCGGGCTTATGGGTGGAAAGCAGATTATCGCTGGGGAGCCAGCAACATCGGAGAACGCCATCAGGCAAGGAATCACAGAATCACAGAATCTCTAGGTTGGAAGAGACCTCAAGATCATCGAGTCCAACCTCTGACCTAACGCTAACAGTCCCCACTAAACCATATCCCTAAGCCCTACATCTAAACGTCTTTTGAAGACTTCCAGGGATGGTGACTCCACCACCTCCCTGGGCAGCCTGTTCCAGTGCCTAACAACCCTTTCAGTAAAGAAATTCTTCCTAACATCTAACCTAAAACTCCCCTGGCGAAGGAGGGCAGGCAGGCCACCTCCTTCCCTCGGCACTCTCTTGTGCCTGCCACAAAGTCTGGGATATCGTTTGGAAAGAAACGTTTCCATCTGGTATCACAGCTCCTTAGGCTGGAAGAAGCTGCGGGGCAGCTGGAAGAAACCGCAGGGGACGTTTGCTCCCACAGACAAAAAGATGGACTCTTGCAATGTGGGGGGGCTCCTGAAGGGACAAGAGCTTCTGCAACACGGCTCTGCATCCAGCTCCCCCAAGGATCAGGGCCCTGGTGGAAAATGAAGCTGGCGTGCCAGTCTCAGGCAAACGTGCTGCACGCTTGCCATGCGTGGAGAGAGCGGCCTCCTCCGGGACGGGTGTCAGGAGCCTTTCTGAGTCCCTGCGCCTGGTGGGTCCAAAGGGGACATCTCTCCTGTGTGGCTGCAAGTGGCTCCTTCCTCCTTTCCCCCAAGGGTCTCACCTGGTGGAAGGCTTCTTCTCCAGATCTTGCTGCCTCGTGCCTGGCTCCCAGCTTCTCACCGTGGGGAGGGAAAGCTTCCGCCTCTCCAGCAGCTTGCCAGGATGGCACAATGAAACTAGGAAAGGAGGAAGCTCTTCAGAGCAGCCGCATGGGCACTGCCTTTTAAGCTGGTTGCAGTCAGCCAGCATGGGGCAGGGACCACCCCCAGACAGCACGGACCCTTACCTCCTCTCATCCTGCACTCTCCTGCAGCTTGCTGCTGCGAGGTGAACCGCACTTTGGCCTCTGGCCTTGTCCTCACAGTCAGATGAAACCTGGCAAACAAATGACACGGGCTTGAAGAAGGCTGGCCTCCTACCCGTTGCTGCTTGCTGGCAGTAATCCTCCTGGTGTTGCACGGGACATGGCATCCCTCTTCCGTCACGTTCACGCATGGGGTTTGTTGTGAAGCTTCCCGCAACACCAGAAAAGGTAGCCTAAATTCCCCTCCACATGCAGGCAATTCTCTCTGAGGGGAATCGCGGCAGCACGGGCACAAGAAGCACAACCGCAGTGCCCCTCCTCGCCAGGTGAAGACACTCGTAGCCGAAAGTCAGCATGAGTTAACCAGGACCCAGTCTCTTCAGGATTTAGCCCCGACTGGATGCTGAGCGTGGAGACCCGACCGCGCACGTTCCAAAGGAGGAGGTGGGAAGCCAAGGGCTGCGGAGGAAATGCACTCACCTTGGGAACATCTGGATCGCACGAGCGGTGGTCTCTCCACTCAAGGCAGTCGGGTGTGCCGGCCACATTCTCTGCAAAGAGACACAGACCTGCTGGAGGGTTTCTGAGGCACTTTTCTCAGGGCTCTCATTGACAGGAAGCAAACCTGTCTCCCAAGCCAAAAGAAAGCCTTCTCTCCAAAACCCTCCTCCAAAGCCTCTTCCATCCACCTTTGCTCTGCTCTGGAGGAGCATGGCAGAATATTGAGGCTGTACAGTAACGCTGCCAGGCCTTTTGCAGCGGCCAGCATCCAGACGCTCAGAAGAGCTAATGGAGAAAGCAGCTAATGGGGCAGGCGTGGGGAAAGGCATCTGACTGGCCTGCCGTGTCCAGGCTGGCCAACAGCGGTCGCATTAATCACCCTTCCACAGGATTCCCAAAGAAATTGAAGTAGCCCTCAAAACATCACCAGCTTACACTGTGGAGCATTGCAATGAGGTCCTCAGAGCTCTCCAGACGTTTAACACAGTCCGGATAAAACTTCATGCACAGGAAGTCATCCTCGCACGTCAAAACACCGATGTCCCTGAATGCAAAGGGGACGTGCTCCTTGTTCTTCAGGAGGCAACAGTACAAGATGATGGTCTCTTGCACACACTCCTGCACCACGTACAGTGGGAAGGAGGTGGCTTGCGCTAGCTGCAGGTAGTTCAGCGGCTCGACCTCGACGTCATCTGCAAGGAGAAGCAACATCCTCAGTGCCACAGCAAGCCCAAGTTGCTTGCAGCATTCCGAACAAGGGCCTAGAGGAAGGGTCGCTAAGAGAAACAGCTCCGGGGCCACGGGGTCTTCTGGGGGAACTCAAGCTCCACCCTGACCGTTGGAGACAATCCTCTGCCTCTCCCAGGCCTTTCCAAAGAGCAGGGAGAACAAATCCTTCCGGACATGGGGCAGGACGAGGGGGCTGCTGCCTTCTCACCAGGGAGGATCTCAGGGGGACAGTACATGTACTCCAGCCACCCCTCATCAATGTCCAGCTGGAAGAACGGTTTGCGAATCAGGAGCCGCTTTTGCTTGACGTGGAATTGCTCTTGGAGAACAGCAAAGGTCCCGAGTCCCGCAACCTGAATAGCCTGCACACAGAGAAGACAGAAAGGCTGAGGAGGGAGTTCTTGAGAGACGGGAAAAGGGATGACTCTCCGAGCAGGGGGACACTGCTCTGTGCCCTGCCTGCTCCTGAGGGACAATGGGGCAAGGTGGGGCACTTTGGAAAGCTTTGGAGAAGAGCCGCATCCTCCGTTTCTTCCATCACCCCCCTCCCAGGATTTGCCACCATCCTTTGGCTAGGGAAGAGCCCAGAGGTTTCCAGCACACAGCTTAGGCCTGGGACTGATTATCCTAGGCACGGACCCAGGATATTCCCCCATCTCTCTGCTCGCCCTCTCCACCCAGGCCGCAGGGAAGAGTGAAGCCCTAGGGTGTGCCAAACCCCTGAGAAGCAGAGCAGATCTGGCCTTGGTTTCTCTCCCAGCTGGCCAGTAAGCTGCTCCGGGCACCCTGGGCAGTCTCAGTGCACTGCCGTGCTGCTCGGGTAGGGATTGCTCTGCAGGGCCCAGGACACCAGCCCACCTTATCCTGCTTCAGCGCTTCCAGAATTTGCTCGGATACAGCATCCCAGATAGCCTCAGTCTCTGGAAAGCAAGGAAAAGACAGGTCAGGCTCCAGGCCAGCCAGCTCACCACCTCTTGGCAAGCACCTCACCCAGGCGAGGACACATGCAGGCATACGCGAGCCCCCCAGAAAAACACCATGCGGGCATTCCTGGGACATTCCTGAGAGGCCTGTGGGAGCTGCAGGAAAGAGACTGCAGGCTCCCTGGGCCACCCCTTGCGAAGGGGCTCCTGACACCCTTACCTTTGGGGGAGAGATTCAGGAGCACTGGGAACTGGGAAACCATATCAGAGGCGATGGTCACCCTCCAGCAGCCCTCCATCTCGCTTGCTGCTGGCCCTCAGCTCAGGACAAGGGATGCCCGCCCTGGCTCCTCAACCACAGCTCCTCTGCAAGGTGCCCCTGCTCCTCCGCCCGTCAGCGAGGGTCGCCCAGTGCAAGCTTGCTGCCTGCTGACCCCACTCCTGGCCGCAGAAGGACAGCGCTGGGGAGCACCCAAGCAGTGCCCAGCAGGGACCAGGCTTTGCAGGGAAGTGCCGGCACTGCCGCTGCACCAATGCTTATATCCTGGTGATGCAGGACATCCTTCTGTGACATCATCACGTGTCATAAGAAGCCTTATGACGTCAGCAGCATGGAGACAGCACAGCTCAGGAGAGAGACGAGAGATTTCCCTTCTTGTCCTGAGAAACAGTCACCTCCCTTCTGCCCAGTTCATTCCTAGCGGTTCCTGGCCCATCCACCAGGAACATCTCCAAATTCTGACAAAGGCCACAGAATAAAGCAAGTAGAGCGCTGGAGAAGTCACTGCTGCGTTCCTCCCCATTTTCTAGGCAGTTTGCTAAAGTCTGTCTGCCAATACTCTCCAGGGCTGCAGGCCTCCCAGGGTCTATGAGTGAGTGGGCCTGTGCAGTGCTGGATGTAGGGCTGGGCCCCAAAACCTCATCTCTTTCCCTGTGCTGAAAAGCAGCTGGACTATGACACGCATTTTGTAGGAGGAGTGTCAAGACACGGGTTTTCCTGTTTGCAAGTCCCAGATCCTGGTGAACATCACCTAGGTCGGCCCATCTGGCAGCTGTGCACAGAAGATGCCTCCAAGAACCCATAGAAACCTCGGGAATGTTTGCACCCTGCAGTGTCCCTTTTCTGTGACAGTCTGAGTGATTTAAGGCCCCCAGGGTGACATGGGGTCATTGAAGTCATCTTAGTCCAGTGGCTTCCACAAGACTGTCTGCTTCTTCAGCCTGACTGCAGGCATTTACCTCTGACCACACTGCCACCCTGACTGGATCTGCTCTGACCCTCACCCACAAGGGCTCCCCCACTCTGCTGCCCATCCCATAGAGGAGCTCCATGCATCCAGACAGATCCTTCACATGGAGGGCAACCCCCTGTTGATCATCCCCGCCTGTCTCTTCTGAAGAATCTGCCCCCATCCAGCACAGCACCCCAAGCTGGGGGACCTGTCCCCCCACACCTCAGCAGCTCTTCCATCAATGTCCCAGCCCTGTGACAGCAGGCGGGGATCCAGCTCCTCCTGCCTGTGCCCCAGGCTGAGGGCATTGGGGCACATCTGGGCTGCAGCACCTCAGCTGTGGCACAAGGGCCAAACTCAGGCTTGTCTGAGTTGAATGGTGATTTTGGCGGGCGATACGGGGGGAAAATGGGGATTTTGGAGGGGATATGGGGGAATATGGGGATTTTGGGGGGGTCATATGGGGGAATATGGGGATTTGGGAGGGATATGGGGTCAAAATGGGGATTTTGGGGGGGTCATATGGGGAATATGGGGATTTCGGAGGGGAATATGTTTTTTTTTGGGGGGGGGATTATGCTTTTTTGGGGGGTATAGTGGGGTCTGGGGGGGATCTGCCTATAGGGGAAGGCAGATCTGGAGACTGGGGGTGGCACAGGTCGAGAAATGGGGGGACACCGGCACCTGGGGAGGGGAGGTGGACCAAAAGGGGGGGCGATTTGAGGGGGAGGAACGGGGCACAAGCCCACCTCCTCGCAGTACACCTCCATGCAGGCCACGCTGAGGCAGCGGCTGGCGCCCACGGCCTGCAGAAGCTCCTCGAGGGCGCGCTGCACCAAGCCGGGCTCCCCTTCACCGCCCAGCATGGTGTGAGTCTTCCCTGGTAGGGGCACGGGGGCACCGTGTCAGCCTTTCGGGGGGTCGCTGCCGGCCAGGAACTGGGCCAGCAGCGGGCGGACGGAGCCCTCGTAGACGGCGGCCGTGGAGCTGGCGGCGTCGTAAACAGCATCGAAGCTGAGGGGAAAAAGGGGTTAAAATGTGAGGGAGAGGGGGGAGCACCCATGGGTGCTGCCCGCCATCCCCCTCCCGAGGCTCACCGGTAGCAGGAGGGGGCGTGGGGGGGGTCCTCACGCAGCTGCAGGGTGTGGGAGTCGAGGGGCAGCAGGCAGGGATCCTCACCGGGGGGGCCGGGGCGCAGGCGGACGCAGACCTGAACCCGCCGGGGGGGTGCTGGGGAGCATTGGCAGCCGTTGAGGGGGGGCTGGGTGGATGCCGGGTCCTCGCAGCCCCCTGTCACCTAGAAAAGTGTCCCCTCAAAGCCCCAGCAGCCCCTCAAAGCCCCCCCGTCCCCTCACAAAATGACCCATCCCCTCAAAAAATGTCCCTTCCCTGACTGCTTCCCTCAGGATTTGTCCCCTCGCAGCCCCTTGACACCCCCAAAATGCCCCCTCACAGCCCCGTCCCCTCAGCCCTTTGTCCCCCTCGCAGCCCCTCACAAAATGTTCCCTCACACACCAGTGCCTCAGGATTTGTCCCCTCACAGCCCCTTTTCCGCTCTCAGCTCCTTGTTCCCTCACAAAATACCCCCTCACAGTCCCTGTCCCCTCATGAAGTGTCCCTTAACCCCTCATCCCCTCACAAAATGCCCCCTCACAGCCCCTCATCCCCTCACAAAATATCCCCTCACAGCCCCCTCTCTCCTCACGAAGTGTCCTTTAACCCCTCATCGCCTCACAAAATGCCCCTCACAGCCCCTTTTTCCCCTCACAAAACGTCCCCTCACAGCCCCTCTCCCCTCACCGAACGCCCCCTCACAACCCCTTTTTCCCCTCACAACCCCGCATCCCCTCACCGCCAGACGCCCCCCAGAGCCTCGCACGCCTTCTCCAAACCCCCCTGAGCCCCCCCAGACCCCCACTTTCCCCAAAATCCCCTCGGATCCCCCCCCCCCCTACAAGCCCCCCCCCCGCACCGGCCGCAGCCTCCGCCGCCATCGCTCCCGCCGGACCGTTTGAAGCCGCGGGGCGGGAGCCAATGGGAGGCCGGCGAGCGCGCATGCGCAGTGCGGGCAGCCCGGCGGGGCAGGACGAAATGGCGTCGGTTGCCTGGAAACGGGGGGAGGGGACAAAATGGCGGCGGTTGCCTGGCAACGGGAGGAGGGGACAAAATGGCGGCGGTTGCCTGGCAACGGGGGAGATGACAAAAATGGCGGAAGCTGCCTGGCAACGGGGGGAAAAGAGGTGGGAACGGCGGTGGCGGTTACCTGGCAACGGGGGGCGGGGCGAAGGGAAGGCGCCCAGTTTGTACTGGGAATGGGCCCAGTTTGTACCGGGATGGGGCTGGGGGGCCCAGTTCGAACTGCGATGGGCTCAATTCATACTGGGAAAGGGCTGAGGGTCTCAGTTTGTACTGGGAATGGGCCCAGTTTGTACTGGGATGAGGCTGAGGGTCTCAGTTTGTACTGGGAATGGGCCCAGTTTGTACTGGGATGAGGCTGGGGAGCCCAGTTCATACTGGGAAAGGGCTGGGGGGTCCCAGTCTGAGCTGGGGACAATCCCAGTTTGAGCTGGGTTGGAGCTGGGAGCCCTGGCTTGTACTGGGAAAGTTCCCAGTTTGCAGTGGAATGGGCCCAGTTCATACTGGGAAGGGTATGGGGGTCCCAGTTTGTACTGGGGTGGGCCCAATTCATACTGGGAAGGGGTTAAGGGTCCCAGTTCATAATGGGAAGGGGCTGGGGGTCCCAGTTTGAGCTGGGAAGTGTAATACACAATAAATGTTTGTTCATTGTCTTTCGTGATATAAAAACAAGGAGTTCTGTTTGAGGAGCTGGAGTTGCGAAAGCTCCCTGCTGAAGTAAGGAGCTGTATAATGCTTGGCTAGACACTATGAAAATTCTTTTGCTTAATGTAACAAAAAAGAGAACCCCCTCCCCTTCTCTCCTTCTGCATCTCAGTTGCCTCTTTTGTTCAAAGACCCTGCTGCAAAGCTCATGTAACCATCTCCTGAGAAGTTGCTAACCTAGCGTATCAACATCCTGCCTTCCTGTCTCACGCTGGGCCAACATGACCAAATAAAAAAAGAAGTTGAACCACAACGCCGAGGAAGACTACGGCCTTCATCTTCACGACCACCAGAGGGACAGAGATGACCCCCTAGCAACAGTGCGCGCAGTCGCAGAATATACCAGGATGTGCTGCATAATCCTGGAATTACCAAGATATAAAAAGGGACCCTGGCGGGGGTGAGGTGCGCGCCGTTGGCGGAGCCGAGACTCCCCGGCCGCCCAGCGCTGTTTTGCTTGCTGTTGCTTACTCTATAAATTCCTTTCTATTATTAATGCAATGCTCCCTGAAAATTAATTAAGGGGCAACATATAACAGGAAGGAGGTGGCTCGCGCTAGCTGCAGGTAGTTCAGCGGCTCGACCTTGACGTCATCTGCAAGGAGAAGCAACATCCTCAGTGCCACAGCAAGCCCAAGTTGCTTGCAGCATTCCGAACAAGGGCCTAGAGGAAGGGTCGCTAAGAGAAACAGCTCCGGGGCCACGGGGTCTTCTGGGGGAACTTGAGCTCTTCAAGCTCCAGAAATGACTCTCGGTCTGTCCCATGACAGGTCTGTCATGGGACAGACTGAGAGTCATTTCTGGAGAGAGAGGAAAAGTTTATCACTTCTGAAAAAAACAAGGGGTGACAGCAAGTTTGTGTGCCCCAGGTGGTGTTTTGATGACCCGAGGAGATGCTCGGGTTCTCCACTCAGATGTAGGAGTGCGGTGGGGAGATTCTTGGGTGCTCCAGTGAGGTGCTTGGGTGTTCCAGGGAGGTGCTTCTGTGCTGCAGGAGTTGTATGGCAGGGGCAGAAACTTTTGTTAGGAGGGCAGAGGTTTGTGTGCTCCAGGGAGGCTTTTCTTCTGCCCCAGGGATATGCTTATGTGCCCCAGGGAGGTGCTTGTGTGCCCTGGGAATATCCTTGGGCTCTCTAGGAAGGTGCTTGATTCCTCTGGGGTCACTTGGAACCTCCGGAGTTGCCTGGGTCCAGCAGAGAGCAGGTTGTGTGCTCCAGGGAGTTGCTGGACTGCACTAAGTGTGTTGTTCAGTGCTTTAGGGAGGTTCTTGGTTGTCCCGACAAGATGCTCGTGTTCCACAGGGAAGGGGATGAGTGACCCAGAGGCAGGTGCTGGTTGTCCCCAGGGAGGTGCTTGCCTACCACGGGAAAATGCTTGTACACCCAAGAAGATCCTTTGCTCCTCCAGGACGTTGCGTGATTTACCCAGGGAGGTGTTTCTCTGACCCAGGGCAGGATAGGATTTCTTCATAGAGGTGCTTCATCAATGGAGGGAATTCCTTGGTTCTTGAAAGATCTTCTGGGGTGACCTATTCAGGTGCTTGGGCACCCATGGGGTTATTCTACTGTTCCCCAGGGAGGTGTTTCATTCTTCCAAGGAGGTGCTTGGGTTCTCTATAGAGGTTCCTGGGTTCCTCCAAGAAATGCTTGTATGCCTTTGGGCGATGTCTTAGAGCATCAGCAGGAGATGGGTTCACAGCGGAAATTGTTCAGGTGAACCCACCTAGAGTTGGGATCTCCCGTGAGGTGCTGGAATGCCCTTGGAAGATGCCTGAGAGGGAAAAGGTAGTGCTTAGGTGTCCTGGGGAGATGCTTGTCTACTCCAGCTCAATGCTCACGTGTCCTGCAGGAAGTATTTCTGATTTCAAGAGGTGCCTATATTCCCTGGGGAGATACTTGGGTGCCATGGAGGGTGCTTCAGGAAGATGCTTGTATTCCCAGGGGAGACTTTTACTTTCCCCAGGGACATGTTTGGCTTCTCCAGGGAGTTGCCAGAACGCTCCTTGGAAAAGACGGCTTGATCAGAGGACTTGTGCCGAGGTCCTGCTAGCAAGACTGGTGGTCTGGGGAGATTGTTGGCTGCTCCAGGGAGATGCCTGTGTGCTGCACGGAGAAGCCTGGGCATCCTTGGGATGTGCCCGTGTGCCTAACGGAGATGGTGGTGTGAATCAGGGCAGTGCTTTGCTACGGCGGATGAAGCGACACAAGCAGTCTGGCTGTGCTCTTTATTTTCCATTCAGGGGTGGAAAGCGGGAGAGCTTCCCAGCCCCTTTGCTCAGAGCTCCGCTGCTGCCTTCAGCATTCCCAGCACCTTCCCCTCCATTGCGGTACCAGCATCTAGCGCTAGGGAGTCAGAAAGAAAAGAGGATGATCAGGTTGTGTACAGGCTGAACGCAGAGAAGTACTGCAGGCTTAGCTCGGGCCGTACACGTAGGGGTCTGCTTCCCATGAAGCTTCAAGGTTGCCGTCAGCTGCGACAGATGCCTAGTGCCCAAGCTCATCAGCCTGGGGCTGAGGCAGGGGGAGCGGAGGGCCCCGGAATGCCCTCTCTGTCCCAGTGCTGCCCCCACGGGAAGGACGGGCCTTGCAGCAGCGGGAAGCACCATCCCTTTCTGGAGATACTTACCAGGGGAGCCGCTGCTGCTCTTGCTGCAGCCGCTTTTCCTCCGCAGCACTTCTGAACACCCTTTGTTGACTGCGATGCGGCTCCAACCTTTTCAAAACTTGCAGTGCTCGTGGGGAAAGGTGGCTGCAACACCAGGACAAAGGGATCCCTCAGCCTCTGCCAGACACCCCTTCTGCCTCTCCCCTCATCCAGACCCTGCACCCACGCGGTGCCACGTGCACCCACCCTTTCGCCCTGTGATGAGTTTTAGGCCTTGGCGGTAACCAAGGTCATGCCCGCTTTAGGAGAAAGCAAAGGGTGTCATAGGCAAGCCCAGGACTCAGGGACCGGGCTGCTGGACATCTCTTGACATCGCTCAGCAGCTACTCGAGTGCCCCAGCACGTGAACGCAGCCGGCACACACTTACTCAGGCTGGAGGCTCTCCAGCTTGGCTGCCGCTCTCCACTCCTCTTCAGCGGCAGGGATCTGAACCTTCCTCCACCTCCTCACGACGTCCTTGCTCCTGGGCTGGGCTGGGGGATGGGGAATCCAATCATGTTGCCTGGTGACCTGATGCAAGGAGAAGACGCTCTCATCAGACAGGACTGGACACACGGGTGCTGTTTCCCAGAGGACCCCTTGAAAGGACCCTGCAGCAGGACCTGGGAAGCAGGCGACTCGGCACTGCCGGCCCACGTCTGGCTGCTGCTTTGATCCCTCGCTTTCTGCTGACAGCCTCTCCCTCACAGGGAGGAGCAGGCAAAGCCCTGCCCTGCGCCCTGGTGCCCGTCCTGCTCCCACCACCCTGGGACCTGCCCCCCTCGGAGCCCTGGCGGGGAGGATCGCTGCTCTTCTCAGCGGTGTTGGTCACGGCCAGTACCTGAGGTGTCTCTCGGTCCTCCCCCTGAGACCAGGCTTCCCAAGCAGCCATTTCTGCCCGGGCTTGCTGTATTCGCTTTTGGTACAAGGGCCATGAGCTCTTTGTTTGGTCCCACTGCGAGGACAGGTTCCAGACCTCCTGGAGGAAAACAAACAAAAAACACAACAGCAGACAGGATTGGTCTCAGCTGTTGGACCAAAGACCTCTGCCATCAAAGACCCAGAAAGCCCTCATTCCTTTTCCATTGCCCCTGGTCCAAATGAAGCGGCTCATGGCAACACGGGAGGCAGCAAGAGGCAGGGAAGGTGTGCGGGACACCACCTTCCATCTCCCGAGGAAGAGAAGAAGGAGGTAACAAGTGTGAAAATGAACGCATCCCAAGGGTCCGGCTTGGGATCGCTCCACACAAAGAGGCTTTAGTACAGTCCCAAACCGCGTGGTCATTGCAGCAAGGCAGAGCAGGTACCTGCACCGATCTCTGAGAGGCTTCGGGAGTAGGGAGCGCAGTGCTGGTGGACTTGGCTTGAGGAGCTGCTTCCTGCCTGTCTGTCTTCTTTGTCCTGGGGGAGCTGCCTGGACACGGGGGGAGCACACTGCAAACAGACACCGGGAGGCTGCATGAGCCCAGGGGAATTCGGTCTCCAGTCCGCGCTCGCAAGCTGCGTCAGCCTCTGCAGCAGACGGCAGTTCCGCAGCGAATGGGTGTTGGACTGGCCGCGTTCGCTTCAGCAGACACGGAGAGAGCCAACCGCGAAGCAGTGGCACCAGCTGCCTTCAGGAAGGCTCGCGATGCCCGTATCCAGGCCCTCTGTGGTGGCAGAAGGAGAGGAGCAGTGTCTTGTGCAAGGACAGGATCCTAGAGACACCAATACGGCCCAGCCGGGCTTATGGGTGGAAAGCAGATTATCGCTGGGGAGCCAGCAACATCGGAGAACGCCATCAGGCAAGGAATCACAGAATCACAGAATCTCTAGGTTGGAAGAGACCTCAAGATCATCGAGTCCAACCTCTGACCTAACGCTAACAGTCCCCACTAAACCATATCCCTAAGCCCTACATCTAAACGTCTTTTGAAGACTTCCAGGGATGGTGACTCCACCACCTCCCTGGGCAGCCCGTTCCAGTGCCTAACAACCCTTTCAGTAAAGAAATTCTTCCTAACATCTAACCTAAAACTCCCCT